GTATGACTAGGGAAGTATTGGGAACAGATAAACAGATAATCAGAGTTGGCAGACTTTATTGGTTTTATTTCTTTTAAAGTGGCAAAAAGGGATTAATCCACAAAGATAATTATGATACATACACTGTCAAAGAAGGAAAATGTATAGTAAGTGAAAAATGAAAAAATGTAACAAAGGAAAAATGAAAAAAAATGCATCATTTCCTTATTTTGCTTCTTTTTTCCCATTATTTTTACTTGGAATTACAATTGGTTATTTCACGAGTGGATTAAGGTCTAGAAGAACCTGAAGATTTTGAATTGTCTGAAATAAACAGGAAACTAACAGCGGCTGGTTCTTCAACTTCTACTTCTTCCTCTTCACCATCTGGAGGACAACACTCAATACAGACGATGTTACAACAAGAAAAAGAACAGGAAAAGGTGACGCTGCAGATGATTATGCAAGGAATTCAAAATATACAAACAAGAACAGAGAATATTGAAAAGAGAACAGAGAACATTGAACAAAGAACAGGAAAAACTGATGAAAAGGTGGAGAACATTCAACAAATGATGATGAAGTATGATGAGAGATTCCAAAAAATTGAAGAAGATAAACAAAAAAAATAAAAGATTGGAGATATTGATAGCAGATTAACTGTGGTTGAACAAGATAAAAGTGGGATGCTGAGATGAGAGATGGACAGATCAGAATTTTATCTCAGATTCCAAAACATAAAGGAAGAAAAGGGACAAAACGTAGCTGAGATAATGATAGAAATCTTGGCTGAAGCTCTGGAAATAACCAAAGAGAAGATGATGGATGGAATAGATGAGGTTTTTTGAGTCTTTACAAGATATGCAATGAGAAATAGCTTACCAAGAGAAGTTCACATCAGATCTCCGAACTAGTCAAAATTTCTGCTACCGGTTTTCCAGAACTGGTCAGAACCTGCTGAATACCATCTCTGATCACATGACCTTGGGACTCTGCAACCAGCATAAATACAGGCCTGTTGCCTTTTTGAATTTTGATCATGTGACCATGGGGATACCTCTGGGTGGTATTCAGCAGTTTCTGACCAGTTCTGGAAAACCGGTAATGGAAATTTTGAGTAGTTCGGAGAATCGGCAAATACCACCTCTGACTGGAGATTTTACAGTATCCTTCCCCTGCCACGCCCACCAAGCCACGCCCACAGAACCGGTAATAAAAAAAATTGAATCCCACCACTGCACCAGTGTTATGTGATCATCTTTTTTGACCTTCTGACAAGCAAAGTCAATGGAGAAACCAGATAAACTTAACAGCTGTTGTGTTATTAACAACTGCAGTGATTCACTTAACAAATGTGGCAAGAAAAGTCGTAAAATGGGGCAAAACCCACTTAACAAATTTCTCACTTAGCTGCATAAATTTCGGGCTCCATTGTGGTTGTAAGTTGAAGACTACTTGTTTTCCTTTTTAATAGTGAGAAACATGCTATTAATCATGACTTCAGATATTCCAAAGAAGGTGAGGTAAAGGCGTCATTCACTGCCTGCTGATGCCCCATTGCCATCCTTCTCTTCTTTCTCCCCTGATCTTTGACTACAGAACTTAAAAGCCAGGCAAGATAAGAATTTGGCTCATCCGGTGGTTTTAGTTGAACCTTGTTTTATTGTTAAACAGGACTCTCTGGGAATCATCTTTCAGTGGTACTCAGCACCCACCTTCCAGGCAGTGGCAGATTAAGGCTCACTGGTGCCCTAAGCACTGACAAATCTTGGTGCCCCCGTCCTTTTTTACAAATCTTCATTGGTTGGTTTTTTTTCTTTCTCAACTTTGTGGTGCTCCCTTTGGGCATGGTGCCCTAAGTAAGTGCTTAATGACGAATACACCACTGCTTCCAGGCATACTGAAGTCCAGCCTTACAATCACACTCATGTCGGCCTACATGTCTTGAAGGACATGTCCACATTAGGAGCAATTACTCAATATCTCTTGCTTTGTTACGGGAAAGCAAGAGGACAAGGGAGGAGCCCTCTGCCTCTGCTTTTCAATCACAGCAATACTTCTCTGTGCTTGCCACATTGCATGATAGCCCTGCATGATGGTGAGAGCTCTGGTAGGATTCCTGCTCCTGCTTCTCAGCCAAGGACAACACTGTCTTGGGTGTGGTAAGTAGGAAAAACTGGATGGGCCATTTGGATACCTGGTTCCTTAGGTCCTTATTTCCTTTATTTCAAGAGGTGCTCTTAGAAAACAAAATACATTTTCTTCTATACAAAAAATCTGCTGTGGTAATTTATGCTTCACTAGCTTCTTTATCAAAATCTTTGCATTCCTACTGTTAGCTGCCTGTATCCCACTTTTAAGGGGTGATAAATTTCAGGAATGTTAGCGGGTACTCAACATTAATTTCCTTGGAAGGAAGAACATAATCTCCTTCCACGATAAAAGAGTTTATTAATACAACTATATGGGTACACAGAATTTAATAACAGGTTTACTGTAACTGATCTTTATTTTACATCAGATTCTTAGGAAACCCTTATTGGCATACCATTTCTTATCAAGTTTTTTATTATCTCTTCTCAATTCAGTACGGGTCTATGTACAACTATCTATACAACCAGATTCTTAGTGGGTAAGAAAAATGAGTTATCTCCACTATCATTGTCCAGGTTCAGTTTCTGGCAATGACTTGATTTATGAGTCATTGACAAGGAAATAATGGTTCTCAATTGTTCCTTAGTTGTGTCTTAAGACAGATTGCCTCAGTGGTAATTATACTAATTTCTCCATTCAGAGAAATGTTTTGGAAATAAATCCTCAAAAAGAATTCAGATTAATCAGTCCTCCAAAACTCATTGCTCACCTGGTCATTCATACAGCTCTGTCTTACGCAACACCATTTCCTTGATCTTTTGCTGAGACTCAGCAGCAATTCATAGAGACTAAAGTTTATCTCCATGCACTGAAAAACTTCCAAGTTCCTACAAATTGGATGATTAAAAGTTGGATTTTTAATACAGCAATTGGGTTAAGTGACTGCATTAGATTTTTCTCATATCAATTTTGTCAGTTTGATTTGTCTCCATCTCCATATTCATCCTCATTCTAATCTACAGGGCACTGCACCTATTCTTGCTTAGATCCCAGTTAGGGAATATCAACTATTTTCCTACTTCTTGTATACAGTATTGTTACATTTTCCCCATTTCTCCAAGAGATGAGACATGCTACTGATACAATGTTTTCTTACAAGTGCAATAGATATGTCAACTATTAATAAAATAACTGTATTAATTCCATTAGCCTTCATTCATAACACTCAAGAAACTTTAGCTATACAGTCCTATAGTAAACCACTTCTGATTTTAGTTTACTTTACCTCGTACAATGAAATTAAATACCATCTTCAGTGTACATTATGACTATGAAAATAAACACAAACACACATTCTTCACATTCTATACATTGAATTGAAAACCCCTGATATTGCAGTAGAATTCAGGAGAGCTACTGGCCTGGGATAGAAGCTGTTTTTCAGCCTATTTGTCCTTGTTTTTATTATCCTGTCCATCTGCCAGATGATAATAGTTAAAAAAAGGGTGCCCAGAATGAGATGGACCTTTGAGAATGTTTTGAACTTTCTTAAGGCAGAACAATCCATAAAAGCCTGAGACTTCATGAGTAAAAGGAATGATAGTGGTTTGCTCAAAACTACACATCATTTGTGGCTGTAAAAAAGGTGATATTGGAGGTTCACAGCTCCTTCTTAGCATCAAATGAATGTAGCTTTTTATACCTTGTACTTGTTGGATAAAAAAAAAAAAGTTTTTAAAATTAATTTATTTCTATCCTGCCATGGTGGTGCAGTGGTTAGAATGCAGTATTACAGACTAACTCTGCTCACTGCCAGAAATTGGATCCTGACTGGCTCAAGGTTGATTCAGCATTTCATCCTTCTGAGGTTGGTAAAATGAGGACCCAGATGATTGGGGGCAATATGCAAACTCTGTAAACCACTTAGAGAGGTCTCTAAACACTATGGGGTGATATAAGTGGTATTGCTTCTTGCTACTTATTATTTTTACAAATAACTCAAGGCAGCAAAAATAACCAACACACCTTTTTCTTCCTATTTTCCTCACAACAAAAGCCCGGTGAGGTGGGTTGGGCTAAAAGAGAGTGACTGGCCCAAAGTCACCCACTTGGCTTTCATGGTTAAGGTGTGAGACTTGAAAAATAAAGTAAAACTCCATATCAGAATCCAAACAATATCAGCAGAATTATAGTAACTGTAAATACATACACAGTGCGGGTCCCTTATTTAGTAATCAGAGGAATTGTCCCAAAAGCTCCGTTTAAGCTTTGACACTTAAGGAAAAGCCCTTGATCCTCCAGAGAGGTAAGCTCAAGAAGAGTAGGATGCATTTCTGCAATTGAGGCCTGCCTTGATCACTCATTTCTGAAGAGCTTCTAGTACCTGCATGGCATTGCTATAATAATTATTGTCACATTGAGTTTTTCCACATGGTTCTACATTAGTATTTTTTTAAAAAAATTGAACAGCCTTATTTCTGAATGTAGGGTCATTTATAGCAATAGTATGTTTTTAAGAGCAAAGTTTTGGCATATACTGTGACATAACGGTGGTGGCGAAAGGCCTAGGAGATGCTCTGTTGCCATCTTCTACTTCTCTAGAGTAGCCTAGTAACATCCTATTTTTCCTGGGCAAGAAAGGTAGGAAGTTCACAACTTTCTCAACACAACTTTTCTTCCATGAAAATTATCACATTCTAACCATTAACCTATGTGACTCAACAAATGCTTGTTAAGCAAGTGGCTGTTCTCTCACAGATGGTATGCAACATCTTGCCAAGTTACATAAGTAGCCTTCCTCCTGTTAACATGCAACCCACTGATTTTCTTGAAAGGATTAGTTCTTTGGCATCACCTTGCCAGACCTGTTTAGAGCCAGAGTTGAGGAAACTGAGATAAACAAAGGAAAGTCAATAGTGCTAGAAATGAAGTGACTATTTGAAGGTGAAACGTTGGTAGGGAGGATACAGAGCTGTCCCAGCAGTTTATATAAAGGAAGACAAGCAGGTTTTCACCCTTGACTTCCAATATTCTGCCACATCAAGGAAGATTTGGTCTAAGAAAGGGTATGCTCACATCTGAGCCCAAAATGTTCCTCTTGACTATTATCATGTGTGTGTTCTACGCAGTCACTAATGCAGCTTCCAGTTCTTCAGGAACTTGCTGTAAGTATTTCAAGTTAATCTTCCTCTTGCATTAGCCCTTCTTAGCCTGATGCTTCTCCCTAACTTGATGAATAACTTGACTGAAGGATAATATAGGAGTCAGTCAATAACTTGACTGAAGGAGTCTTAGTCCAACATATTTGGAGATCTTCAAATGGGTGGGTCACGGTGATCAAATAGGGGCAGGGTTTGCCTTATATTTAAGTGACACAGTCGAAAGCCTATCTCTGCAGTTATATCCTTTCAAAGGCACATGTAACTGTTTCAAAGGCTATCACTGGGAGCCTCCATATGCTCACGCAGTGACATTACTTCACTGACAGATTCACCAAAAGTGTCTGCACATAAGACAACTAGAATCAACTTTTGCAACTTTTTGAGCTTTGCCAAGAACATGATTGTTTTAACAATTTGAAAGGAAGTGCTTCGTTTGCACTAACATACTGTGAAAAACGTCTCTTTGCACAACCCTAGATAATGTATGTAAACATTTCAAATATTTGTGTGCTGAATGAAATATTAATGCATAGCGGGTGTTTAGACTGGATCAACTTTCCTTCATGAAATAGTTTTGGAACTAAACTGTGAACTTGAGCCATCATGACTGCCAGTTTCTATTCTCCATACCTCATTAATGATGAAGCCGAAAAGCTATGCCCTACCTAAATCTTCTCATGTTTAATAAAAGCAAGACGGGTGAGGAAGCTTTCTAATGATCCCCATCTGATTGAACAGCAGAGCTAAAATTCCAAGCCAGCACACACATTAGCTTTCTGAATACACAAATAGTTTTCAGTACAGATGCACAGAGTGTATTATTGACCCAGTCAATACACACTGTCCACAAAATATGTATGATGTGAAAGGAAAACTGAAAATAAAACATGAATTTAAAAAGTACAGAAGCATAGAGCTGAATAATCACTTCCTACATGTAGAAAAATAAAGTATTACAATGCAGAAATGGTTTATCTCCTTATGTGCTATTGATATCATCTGAAATGTAATAAATTTGTAGTGCAACCTTCCCTAAACTAGTAGCCTTCCAAATGTCTGTGTTCATATGATATGAATTGCACACCAATGAGTGCCAATGGGAAAGACAGGTCCCATTGTCCTTATATCAAAGAATATAAGAAGTGACTAAAGGAACTTGAGGAAGCAGCTGTTTAGAGATTATGTCCAGCAGCCTATCTAAGTCACCCCACCTGCTGATCTATTACTATAACTTCACTTGCTATCTGCCTGTTTTCATACATCACAGTAAGTCCGTAGAAGACATCGAGAATAGGAAAGTACCCCATCAGAAAATGATATACAAAAGCTCAAAACTTAGTGCCAAGTGTATCATTGAGCAAAAACACTTCATGTGTATTGAACTGGATTAATTTAGTTAACTCACTTGATCTGTATTCCTACTGAAAATAATGGCGCTTAAAGTTGTATGTACTATATTCTTCAATTGATTTCAGTAAGTCAGTTCACCTTAAATAGAGCAAGAGAGAAATAGGTTTGATTGAGTTAACTGTGACAAAATCTTGCATGAAGGTATGTGGGATGGCAATTTTGGCTAGAATCCAATCAAAATATCCACATTCATAGCTAAAGATGAGGCTCAGAGAATTGTATATAGCCTCAATAAAAAAGGAAGTACAGAGAGAAACAAAAGTGAAAAAAATCTTAAATGTACACGAATAATTAAACAGCTTTTTTTTTTTTTTGCTCACAGTGAGTGATAAAGTTCATGTGCAATGTTTTTTCCCCAAAAGCAGATAAATTCACATAGGTCTGGATATCTTTATGAATAACAAGTCTGCCTACGTGATAACAACTTGGTTGTATGGATCTTGCATGATATATACAAATTATTTGAAGTTATTCTTATTATAATTACAGAACTCGATAGTGAACAAAAAATGTTAGTGGGCAAAAAAAGGAGTAAGAGCCAGAGGTAGTATTCAGCAGGTTCTGACCAGTTCTGGAGAACCGGTAGCGGAAATTTTGAGTAGTTTGGAGAACCAGCAAATACCACCTCTGACTGGACACCCCCCCCCCAATCTATTCACTGCCTCCCGAATCCCAGCTGATTAGCTGGGTCTTCTTTTGTTGCCCTGCAAAGGAGAACAGAGCTGGAAAGCAGGTTAGTGGGGTGGGGAGGGAATGGGATTTTGCAGTATCCTTCCCCTGCCACACCCACCAACCCACTCCCACCAAGCCAAGCCACGTCCATCAAGTCACACCCACAGAACCAGTAGTAAAAAAAATTGAATCCCACCACTAGTAAGAGCCCCAAGCTCTACCAATGCAGAAGAAAAATATAATAGAGACAATTTCTTTGACTGAACTCTACTTCTGTTGACAAGCTACATCAGAGTGCTCTAGGAACAGGTGCTGTTCTTGGTAAACCTCTTTGGTCTTTGTTCCAGATGTCCCAAGTGATCGGCAATGGTTGGTTAGAGGCCTCCAGACTCAACTGGAAAATTGGGCCAGTCTGCAGAGTACACCTGATCCCAGTGTCCTGATTGCTTTGAACTTGGCTGAAGACCACAACCTTAGTGTGATAACACAATTGGTGAGGCAGATAAAAGAAACAGCTGGAACAGGTATGATATTGAAATGAGAAGTTTTTACATAAATTACTTTATTGTTTCTATAACCACTTTGAACCAGTTCATATCTTTATTTTGATACATTTTATAAAGAGGGAAACATGGAAATTGTCAATGTATAAGAGCTCATGAATTGGAATAGACATGGTAATAGGTCAGCCAATGGGAACTGTTTGGTGACTAAGAAACAGCACTTGTTGTCAGCCAGAGTTGGAGACTGGGATGGCTTAGGATTACTGGTCTGTATATAAGAGTTAGTTTGTCCTTGGATCTTTGCTTCTGTGTTTATATTGCTTCTGTGATTATGACTTCTGGATTCTTCTGGTTCTGACTTCTGCCACATGGTATTGTATACATGCATCAAGTGTTTTCTTAAATGAATCCTGCTGAATTATTTACTTGTGTGCTGGTTGGATTGCTGCAAATTCTAACAGAAATAGTTTTCCATGTGTCACTTTTGAAAACTGTGGGTAACTCATTAAGCCAAAGAGATAATGAAAAATACCATGAAGCTTTATGATTTATTTTGTTTTTACAAGTACCTCCTAGGTTTGACTATGACGTATCTCCCAAGCTTAATTAAAACTTAAGTAAGTCCAATTCTATTTCTAGAATGGCCACTTTTTCTTGGTAATATAATAGGTAGCACATGACAAGTAGTCCTCAAGTTATAACAGGTCACTTAACGGTTATGACACCAGCCCCAAAAGTATTTATGGTACAGTCCCGAAATTACAAATGTTGCAGCACCGCGGCAGTCATTCATTCTTACGACCAACCACAGAGACACTGCAATATTCCCCCTGCCTATTTCCCCCCCAAAGGACCTACTAGTCATTGGATCTGCTATCATATCCCACTGGGAGAATGGAAGCCTTTGGGGGTGAGATTTCATGCTCCTTCAGGTCTCTGTCCTCTGCACCAAAAGCTTTTGCAAGGGGGCCTTCAGTGGCACAATCTTACACTCCTCCAGGTCTTCAATCCTTTGCAAAAGCTTTTGGTGCAGAGGACGGAAGCCTGGAGGAGCATGAGATCACACTCCTTCAGACTCACCAAGGCTGCCCAATGTTCCAAAAGTGGATCTGGTGTCCTGTGCATGCAACCTTGGTGAGACAGCCAAACTGAGCAGGGTGCACTCATCCCGCTCTGCCTCTGCAAAGAAACCTCACTGCTGTGCAAACCCCACAAGAGGAGAGGAGACAGACAGCTCATTTGATGAGTGAGAAGGAGCAGTCAGTCTGTTCTGGAACTCTGGACATCTTTGAAAGGTGAGTCTCCACAGGTCCAGTGCCTGTGGAGACCCAGCGGGGAAGACAGGGTGGGGGAAGCAACTATGGGGACCCCAAGGGATTGTAAGTGGAGCACGAGCTATCGCAGTGGGTGGGAGGAGGCCTTGGGTGTCTGGAAGCAGGTCCCCCATGGTCTTTCCCACCCTGAAATATCTTGTGCACACTTAATCTGTGCATTTGATGAACAAATGCATTGGGGAAAGCAGGGAGGGGTCACATTCATTTAATGTGATCCAATTAACAAATCCTCAGATTGCGAATGTAATTGGCAGGCTCTATTACATTCGTAACTCAAGGATTACCTGTACAAGACAAAGTTTTCATTATGATCATAGGTCCACACTTGGCAAACTTGGCTAAATATTTCCCACAATTTCATGAATAGGTCAAAACAGGTTTGTTTGTTTTTTTAATTGTTGATCACCTATATTACAAGAATCTCATCCAACTGGCTGCATTCCCTTGAGAACCAGCAGATAAGCCTTCACAAGTCTGATTCCAGTTATTGTATAACTCCAATTTTAAAGCAGCTCTCCCAGATGTTTTGGGCTGCAGTCTAGACTTCCAGCTGGGATGGGAAAGGGTTCTTTATTGCTTTCGAAGCATTGCTTACTCAATCTTTGTCCTCTCTCATCCCTTCTTGCAGAGATGACCTCTGGCAAAGTGGCCCTTTATGTTCTAGCTCTTCGGTCCGCCTGTCAGAATCCTGCTGATGTCACCACGCCAGAAAAACATGTCAACCTGGTCCAAGTCCTTGAGGAGAAAACAAAGGAAGAGATTGAGCATATCCGTAAGGACACAAATGGGCATTAGATTCCTGCCTTTCATTCAGATAACAAAAAAGGAATGATTAATGCATGGCTCCTTGACTGTCTGTGCTCTCCCACATCATCGCCTTCAAGGATGGTATTCAGTTGAATTGAAATGCCCAATTCACAGTCTATTAGAATTGCTCTCTTAGCCATGTTAGCAGTGCCTGTTCTTTGTCTCAGTTGCGAGTAACCTTTTCTTTTTTACATTTGAAAGACTGGTACAACTTAAAATGTTTGTACATCTTTTATCCCTATTTCACAATGCAGATGACAGCTGAATCAATCTGTTGGTGGTAGAATACCAATCCTGCTATTAATTCTGATCCCTATTTTGCATTCATACTTTCCTATTCTTTTAGGACTTTTATAACAGCTGCAAAATTGATCCAGAGTGGTGATGATGATTGAGAATGGCTTTGTATCATGCATTTATTTAGTCAAAACTTTTATATAGCCACCCATCATAAACCAAATTCTGCACAGCTGTCCACAAAAATACCTACAATAAAAATATTAAAACCAAAAGACCTGCTACTATAGCTAAACTTTCCCATGCAGCACATTTTCTGCCAATCAACATTGTACATGAAAACAGCAAAATCTTTGTGAGATCTCTGAAAGGTGATGTTGCACCGATGAACTTATGGGGAAGATTTGTCTTAGTTCAGGCTGAAAACATGTTCTGTGCAAGATAGAGCAGAATTCATAAAGTACAAAATCTAGTTTAGCAATCTGATATTCATCTCTGCATCCTAAATTTCCAACAATCAGTACAAGTATTCCTTGACATATGACCATAATTGAAACTAGAATTTCCATTAATAAGCAAGATAGTTGCTAAGTGAGTCATGCCTGATTTTACAACCTTTTTTGCCATGGCTGCTAAGCAAATTACTGCAGTTGTTATGTGACTCATGTAAACATTAAGGTAATCTGATTTTCCCCCATTGACTTTGCTTCTCAAAAGCTGGCTGGGAAGGTTGCAAATAGCAATCACGGGACCCCAGGACTCTGCCACTATTGTAAATGCATATTGGTGGCCAAAGCCATGAATTTGGATCACATGACTGTATAGATGCTATGACAGTCATAAATGTGAAGACCAGTCATCACTTTATTCAATAGCATTGTAATTTTGAACAGTTGCCAAACAAATGATTTTAAGTTGAAGACTATCCATATTGTGGGTAGGTAGTATTATAAATTATGCCTAGGAGAGGTTTATAGCTCTTTTGAGATATTCTCCCTATAGCATTATAAACTCTCATGCAGCGGGAGAATGGACTTCATTTTCTGCCCTTTCTCATCATTTCCCCTGCATTTGAATCTAACTTGGCTTCCAAGTTAGAGGGGAAAATCTGCAGCTACGAACCCAATCATCCCATGCACTAGCTTAATGGAGATCTTCCAGATGAGTAGACTTCAGTTTTGATGCCAGCTGGGGAATTCGGAAATTGATTTGGAACAGATCTGGAAAATGCTAGTTGATAAAAGATTATTTTTTTGTGATTTAGAATCCTGCATCATTATGGTTATCAATTCCATGGGGATCCCACAGAAGTACAGCTGGTTTGTGATTTCAGATCATTCCTTCTTCAATATTACTGTTTTCCATTTCTGCCTCATTTTGAACTCAACCTCCAGTTATAGACGGAGGGTAGATATCTTCTGTGACCACACAGGAAGTAACTGATAAACATGCTTACTTTTCAGATACTACTGGGACTCCCAAGACAACCTACTACCAATTGGCTCTAGATACTTTGGCTCTGTGTGTAGAAAAAAGTCCAGAATTAGAGAATCCTGCCACCACCCTGGCTAAGGCAGCCCTGAATAACAGTTTCCACTTCGATGGTCGTTTCTCTGTAGGTAAGATAATGCTTCACAGAGATACAAACACATGTATGATTTTGAATATGATTTTAAATTACCTTTTTATTCTGAGCTTCCTAGTACCTCAGGATAGCACTTTCAATGTTACCCTGTAATGATCCTGGCAAACAGGCTGGACCTTGTAATAAACGGCCTTTTCCAATTTGGCCTGCTAATCTCAGATATCTACTATTGTCCAGCACTTTTATACCAAAGAGAACCATGACTCTTCCTAGATTGGCAAATACTCCTGACTTTCTCCTCACTGCTCAATCCCTTGTCTGATGTAATTCACAGATACTGCTGCCGTAGCAAATCTGGGACTCTTCTGTGTGTATGAAGGAAAGATCTCACCTCAACAGAGCAAAATTACAGGAATTGTTAGAGCAGCCTTAATCCACATCACAAAGCAAATCCTTAATGAACAGCAGTCTAATGGCCTCCTTGGAAATGTCTATAGCACTGGCCTTGCAATGCAGGTACATCTGACCTTTTATTTGGGAGGGATGAAAATCCAGCAATCTGGTCTTTATCCCTTTGAATCTTACTGAGCATATCTCTCTCTCTCTCTCTCTCTCTCTCTCTCTCTCTCTCTCTTCTCTCTCTCTCACTCACTGATTTCCAGGCTCTCAGTGTTACTTCTGAGTTCTACTCTGCTAATGCATGGAATTGCCCAAAGACCCTGAATGAAGTGCTGAGTAAGATCACCGAGGGAGCCTTTAGCACTCCAGCTGCTGCTTCTCAGATCCTACCTTCTCTGGTGGGCAAAACGTATTTGGATGTCAGGGGTCTCACTTGCAGCTCCAAAACTGGTAAGGCAGCTTCTTCAATGGAAAGAAACTCTTCTGGCACTTCCCTTGTTCTCTCAAAGAGAGAAAAATAGAGAAATAGAGGCACAGCTTAATGAGGCCTGCATTGTAGATCCACCTTTCCCATCACTATATTTCCACACCACAAAAAAGTACAGTTTTGCAGTTATTTGTTATGCTGGAATTCCTGGACCCCATAACAGGTATCCTGGAAGAAAGGGAATGATGGAGGTGGAGGAAACAGTGCTATTTCCAGGTAATATTTATTTCACCTGGGTGCATTTTGGATATTTCCCTGGAGGGCGCCAGAGTCAGATAAGGTAAACAAGGACAAGCACTTTTTAGCCATACTTTCAAAATGTATTTATTTGACCAGAGGTGGTATTCAGCTGGGTCTGGCATACTGGTAGTGGAAATTTTGACCAGTTCGCAGAACCGGCAAATACCACCTCTGGCTGCCTCACCCCACCTGCAGCCACCCTTTCCTGTCTATATTCCCTTGATTTTTAGTTCAGTTGATTCACACAGCAGAGTGGATTGCCTTGTCTCAGTTGAGCTAAAAAACAGCTCAGCTCACCAGCGTTGACAGAGGTTGGTCTTTGAGCTCTCTGGGAACTGTTCATAGAACCAAGTAGGAAAAAAAATTGTAAATCCACCCCACTGCACGATTGGAACATTCTAAAGCCATTGGTAGGGTATGGGGCACAATTTTCAGCATTTTTTAATTCAAATCTATTTTCATTCAAAATAAATGTTATGCTACCAGAGGTTTAAAACACTAAAATTAGTGGCTTGTGTTCCTATTTTGAAAGAATTGCAGAACCCTCCACAAAATTATGCCACCAAAGCCAAATAGATTTTTCATCTAATTTGAATGCTTCTTGGATCCACAAAACAAAGGTGATGATGTGGGTATGCAATGGATTGCCCAGCCTGTAATGATCCAATTTGTTCAGTGTGATTGATCTACAGCTTCTACTCAATAGCTCATCCATAATGATGAAAACAGTGGGGTTATTAGCATCATTCTTCTTGTCATACTGGCCAGGGTTGGTTCTGGAGTTGTGGTACTGTGATTCTGGAAAGTTGTACAATGGGAGAGCTGTACACCATTGCAGTTATACCAGATGCAAGGAAAAATGTGTAATGTAGATATGGAGCTCTGGTATAACAAGCATATTTTAATTTTGCCTATGGATCTATTTTCACTGCACCAAGAAGGAGCAATCTTTAAATTTGCTGCCAAGTCTAGTTCATATTGCTGACTCTCTGCTGCGAAAATCTAGAAACGGACATAGGATATTAAGGTATAATGAGTTTACTTTACCTGCCGTCTCTTCTCTTTCATTTGTAGTAACAGTGAATTATACAGTAACCAATGATCTAATAGGACCTTATTTCAAGTATTCCACAGCTGTGCAAGTGCCAAAGGGTTCTGTGCTGCTCACTGTCTTAAAAGCAGCTCAACAATTTAATGCAAAGGAATTCAGGTAAATAGACTCCTGGTAGATTCATTATAAATTATGTCTCTGAACTTTTTTGGGGGGGGCATTCAGCGTAGGATGTGAAACTTTTCTTATTTTCAGTTCAGTTAAACCTTTATCAATGTATTTTAAACTATCTTTGGGCTGGAGGCTGGATAAATTTGAATATTTGATTTCTATGAACTATTTTTACCTATAACATTCCTGATCTTTTATGTTTTTTTCAATTTTTCTTGTGTGTATATTAAATATCCCTTAAAGTGTTATGATATAATTCACCATTTTCGTATTCATCCTTCCTTCTTGTTACATTTTTAATGAATTTGGCATCTTGCAGCTTTCAAACAGAGGAGACTTCTTGGGGCCCCATGGTCACCTCTATCAATGGCGTCCAAGGCAGCACCAATAAAAAGACTTACTGGCAGTTCCTCAGTGGCAAAACACCCCTTGAACAAGGTACATTTTCTTGCGATGAAGGAAAGTGCTGAAAGATACAACATAGTTCCTCCAGATATTTGCGGCCTTTATCACATATCTTAATTATGATTAACTTATTAGTGAATGTGCAGCTATAGGACAATAATAATCAACAAGCCCAAAAAATAGTTTGATGCCTGTTCAAATGGCATAGTCTTCAAGTCAAGCTCAACTCCTCATTATTTTATAGATATATCTAGGTAGTTTTCTCAGTGAAACACTGAAATTATACGTCTTTGCCCTCTCCTGGAATAAGCTTTCAACTTCCTAATTTATACTACAGTACTGGCATGACCTAGAAATAGCCTATCCAGAAACTAATCAGCTTTGTCTCTACTTAGCTTTTGACCCCAGACAAGATTTCCAAGTGCTGCAATTAATTGAGAGCCTACTCAAATGCACAATTCCCAAAGGGCAAGGTGTACAGAGGAAATAAATATACAGATTTTACCTATTTAGTGCACTTGGAAATGTGAATATATAATTTGTTTTCTACTCTCTAAAGCAGCTCTATCTTTTGGGGGCTTACATGGCAGCTGCAGCTTAGGCATCCTTTGCGGGGGAAGTTCAGGGCAATTGAGCAAATGTCCTTCATGACTCAAATCCTACGTTCGCATCTAGTATCAGGAAGCAACTACGAAAGAGTGGAGTTGTATTGTGATATTACTGTATGCATATTATTTTTCATCATCATGAGTGGCTGTGGCCAGGTGTGCAAGGCAGCAGAGTATCTGCATATATCTAATGTAATACTGGTTTTCAAACATCTACACATATTAAGACTTACAATTATCTCTAATGTACGGAGTATGATTTACTTTTCAACATCATGGTTTTTATCTTTGCAGGTGTTGGCAGCTACAAACCAAAACATAATGAGAAAATTGTGGCCATCTTCAGTAGATACTAAACTATTACCTATAATAAAGAAGTGAGGTTCAAGTCTATATCAGTAAAGTACTGATTTCTTTCACATTCACAAAGTAAATCATTTTTGCTAGGCAAACGTAGGTTACAAGACAGTATAGCACTAATAAAAACTTCTATTTTGGAAAGAAACCTGCCAATGTTTTTATCAGATGTTGCTATCTGCTGCTATGTATATTTAGCATAGGGAAAGAAGATAGGCATACAAAATGCAGTTAAATGAATAGAACCCAAAGGCTAGCTGAAACAATAGGAATAAAAAGGCACTCAAGTAATTGGAAAGCTGACTTACATATATGAGTACAGATTTAAATAATATGAATATAATTGAAATACAAATACATCTTACTAAATAAATGCATAGATTCCTAATACATAAATGAATAGATCTTACTGGAAAGGAGAAGACTTTGGCTAACTTACTGCTGACAAACATCGGTCTTTGCTTTTAACTCTGGTCTTCAAATACACCCTGTCTTTTATAACAGCTGTTCAAAGAGAAGATTGCCCTCTAAAGGAAGAAATGCAACACCTCAGACATTGATTTATTGAGCCAGTTTGATGTTGTCCCATCTCAAAAGACACAAAATGATTTACCATATACCAAAAATAACATCAACCTTAAACCAACAGAAAAAGTGAATTACAAAAATAGCCCTGAGCTAACCCACAACTATTCATCAGAATTTGCCTTAACATAATTGGTAATATTCCAATGTTTATACATCTTGAGGCTGCCATTAAAAGCTGTTGGTTTTAAAGGAGAAAACATGTTTATATTCAGTGGTGGGATTCAAAAACGTTTACCACCAGTTCGGTGGGCATGGCTTGTTGGGTGCGCTTTGTGTGTGTGCACACACTTTGCATATACGAGCGCGCCAAACACGCACTTTGCTCAGGCACAGAGGCGTTTGCACAGGTGCAGAGGCATTCCAACTCACCTCCTGCAAGCCTGCACTCTCCCGGTCACTTCAGCAGCTGCCGTACGGCACTCTTCTGTGCCGCGCAAAGCAGCTGCGCTTCAAAAGCAGAAGATAAAGGTGAGTATGGGATCCCGGGCAGGTGGGTGAGGCCAACAGCAGAGTAGCAGAGAGAACTGGTTTGGTCTCCGCTGCTCATCACCAGGCCGAACCAGTAGCATACCGCCACTGTTTGTATTGGTGCTGCTAAGGACAACTTCACCAATCTTCTGCATGGGCTGGGGAAAAGGAGAAAGCAAAAGCCTTTTTGTTTAACAAGATTTGTACAGCTAAGTCCTTGACTTATGACCACAATTGAGCCAAACATTTATATTGCTAAGCAAAACAGTTAAGTTTTTATCTGAGCATTTTATTTTATTTTATTAATTTTTATTGGTTTTTAAGATGAACATAGACAAACAAAACATAAAAACATCAAACCATCTTCCATATATATACATACGGTGTGCCGGTTGGTTTACAAATTGTTTTGTGCTTCCATTTCATAGTCTTCAATTACAATTACATTGTATATATTCTCATATTTTCAATCAAGTACTAAATACATTAAAATCATTGTTAATCAATCATTTGACTATAGTTTTATTCATTCATGTTTTACGAATAATCATATTTTACTTAAATTGTTTTGTGACAGTTTATATTATCATCTCAAATCTATCCTACAATCATTTTGTTGATATAATAAGAAAAGAATACATCTTTATATATTTATTATTTTCTAAGAATCTACATATTTCATTACCATGTTTTATTTTCTAACCATTGATAGAATAGATCCCAGATTTTATAAAATTGTTTATCATCTTGTTCTCTGATTTCAAATGTCAATCTACTCATTTCAGCACATTCCAATATTTTCTTAATGATTTCCTCCTGTGATGGTATTTTCTCATTTTTCCAATTTTTAGCAAATACAATCCTAGCCACTGTTAATAAATTTACAATCAGGTATTTTAATTCTTTACTATATATTTCAGGTAAAATTCCCAATAAAAATATCTCTGGTTTCAAACCTATATGCTTTTTTGTTATTTTTTCCAACCACGTGTGGATTTTAGTCCAATATTTTTTAGCATCCGCACAAGTCCACCACATATGGTAATATGAGCCAGGTGTCTGATGACATTTCCAACATTTTTCCGATTTGTTCTTGAACATTCTTGCTATTCTTGTCAAGGGAAAATGCCACCTGTAAAACATCTTGTTAGGGATAACACTGTTTACCCTAACTGGTTTGGGTAAAAATAATAAATAATGGTATCATGGTTTATTAGTTAAAGTGTGTGTAACTTTAACAGCAAGAATGTAATTAAGGGTGTGGTTGTAAAAGCACTATATAAGAAGCGAGGCAAATGCAGCTCTCTCTCTCTCTCTGGCTTACTGATGGATGGATTGATGACTGTGTTCTTGCTGAAACGGGGAGTGAAACAGGAGTTTTGATATTTTTCTCAACGGAGAGAAGATAAAGATTGACTGATTTATTGTAAGTGAACTGACATTGGCTATTCAACACGGACTTTGCAAATAGAGTATCCCCAACAAGACTTGACTGAAATTGATATATGACTAATGGACCGTTTATTTGACTATGCTATAATTCTTAAATGGAATAAACTATATTTTTGATAGCACAAGCGTATCTGTATTTTTACTGCATGTTAACTAGAAAACTTATCTCACACATTTACCTGTCTTCCTATCTGACTTCGCTGTACATTCTGTTTAGTTTGTTTTCCTTAACACCCGTTGGAGAATCCAGGCTTAACACATCTTATACAAATTTTCTTTATATGCTGTTGACATTGTCATTTTATAATTTTGAGACCACAATTTTTGCCATTTCTCTAGGTCAATCCCATATCCAAAATTCTTCCCCCAAGCAATCATTGTTTCTTTGACTTGTTCTTCTTCTAGTTTAATTTCTAATAAATATCCATATAATTTTTTAATCACCTTTTCATCAGTACCTGTCAAAATCTTATCTAGATCAGTCAGTTTATCATAGAAACCTTCTGTTTTAGAGTCTTTATCATACCTTGAATGTATTTGCGCATATGAAAACCAATTCATCTTTATACCTTGTTCCTCTAATTTTTGTATAGATTTAAGTTCACCCTTTTCATTCAATATTTCACCCTATCTAACTGTTTGTTCCTTTTTATATATTATAGGATAAGAAAATGCTTCAATAGTTGATAGCCAGACTGGAATTTTCAAATAACATTGCCTTTTAGTCTTCTCCCAGTTTAACCACAGAGACTCCCACATATAATGTCTTCTAAAATACCCCTGTGATTTAGTTCCTTTATACCATAGAAAAGCATGCCACCCCAACAACATATCAAGTCCTTCTAATGTCAACAATCTAGCACAGTGGTCTGGGAACAGGGGTAAATTACCCCAAATGGGGTAAAACTGAAAATCCTGGGGGTAATGAGGACGGTCGCGCTGGCATTTTATTTCCGACATTCTGTTTGTATAGTTTACATACACAAGGACCTGACGCAGTGCAGAGCTCAGAAAACAACGCGAGCCGAGGTGGCTTCAGCTCCGCTTGGCTTCGTTTCCTCAGTCCCAGCTGCTTTCAGTCCACTCGGGAGGAGGAGGAAGAGGTGGTGGTGTGGTGGTGACTGGCGTTGTTTTCTGGGCTCTAGGCTCGCGGGCTCAGAAAACAACATGAGCCGAGGTGGCTTCAGCTCCGCTTGGCTTCGTTTCCTCAGTCCCAGCTGCTTTCAGTCCACTCGGGAGGAGGAGGAGGAGGTGGTGGTGTGGTGGTGGCTGGCGTTGTTTTCTGGGCTCTAGGCTCACGGGCTCAGAAAACAACGTGAGCCGAGGTGGCTTCAGCTCTGCTTGGCTTCATTTCTTCAGTCCCAGCTGCTTTCAGTCCACTCGGGAGGAGGAGGAGGAGGTGGTGGTGTGGTGGTGGCTGGCGTTGTTTTCTGGGCTCTAGGCTCGCGGGCTCAGAAAACTGGTGCTTAACACAGCTACAACGAATGCCAAATTTGTGTGTCTTGCACCACCCATCAGGGTCCATCTCCTGTACTGCCGCTGCACTGCTACTGAGGGTCCATCTCCTGTACTGCTGCTGCACTGCTACTGAGGGTCCATCTTCTGTCTGTCAAGTCTTCCAGCGTTCTGTCCTGTCAAGGTACGAGCAATGGCTACCCACTCTAGCTCTAACTACATGACCTTAAGCCTGGTTTGTTCCTTTTTGCACACCACCTACAAAAAAAGCCCCCCAACTCTGCCTTGGCTGTCTCTAGCAAGCACATCATTGCCAACACCACTCTGGCAGCCATTGATAATGATGATGATAAAATCCTCTGTGAGATAACAAAAATATAATGCAACTTGCTAGGCACGTTGGACACCTAACTACTCACTATATACCACCCCATGGCTGGTGTGCAATGTGTTCCAGCAAAAATAGTGCACATCTTTATTAAATTTGGTGCATCCTGCTAGTTCGGTACACAGTCTGGCAGCCATTGATACTGATGATATACCCTGCTAATTCGGTACACAGCCTGGCAGTCAGGGTTACAACTTTTCCAATCAATGTCTTTTTCACCCTTCAGATGACATCAATTAGAAAAAGAATATACCAGGAAGAATTCCTTGATTATGGGTTTACCCAAATTGACGACAAAGGAATAATGAAACCACAGTGTGTTGTTTGTTTGAAAGTACTGACTGCAGAATCTTTCAAAAAGAGTCAATTGAAGAAACACTTGAATAATTTGCACCCACATCTGGCTTCAAAACCACGGGAATATTTTGTCAATTTGGAAATGTCTGTCAAAAGACAAAGATTGGACAGCAACTTTAGAGGTACATTCAATCAATGTTCAGCATCCAAGGCTAGCTTTGAAGTGGCCTGGTTGATTGCCCGAAACAAAAAACCTTATACTATTGGTGAGGATTTGGTTAAACCAGCAGCTTTGAAAATGGCAGAGATTATGTGTGGTCAGAATGAAGCCAAGAAACTAAATTCTGTGCCCTTGTCTGCAAGAGTTGTTAAAGAAAGACTTTCTATTTTAGCAAAAAATGTGAGGCAACAAGTTATTTCCTCAATAAAAGAGAGTAAATACTTTGCTATTCAGCTAGATGAGACTACGGATGTTAGTAGTAATTCTCAGCTGATGGTATATGTCCGCTACAAAGGTTTACATTTAATTGAAGAGGAATTGTTGTTTTGTTCTCCTCTCGACTTGCGATCTCGTGGAATTGATATCTTCAATAAAGTTAATAAATACTTTAATGACGTCAATTTAAAGTGGGAAGACTGCCTTGCTGTGTCTGTTGATGGAGCTCCAGCTATGTTGGGTCATGTTAATGGTTTTGCGGCTTTTGTGAGAGAGAGAAATCCAAAAGTTGAAGTAAACCACTGTATTATCCATCGCCAGGCACTGCTTGTGAAACATTTGGAACCTACATTAGAGGCCGTCATGCATGATGTTATCAAGATTGTCAATGTTGTCAAAGGGCATGCACTAAACACGCGATTATTTCGTGAATTATGTAAAGCTGGTGATGCTGAATATACAGACCTACTTTATCATACAGAAGTGAGGTGGCTCTCATGTGGAAATGTTCTGAACTGAGTGTGGGCTCTCAAAACTGAACTTGAAAGTTTTATGGTTGAGCAAAAGCATGTTCTTGCAGAGAAGTTTACAAACCCCTTGTGGGTTGCACATCTTGCATATTTAGCAGATATGTTTGAGCATGTTAATGTATTGAACAAAGAATTGCAAGGAAAAAACATAA